AATTTTTTTTATATGAATTTATGTATTTGAAAAAGTATAATATTTTATTAAATTAAATTAAATTATTAAATTACAGTGTATAGAAAAAATCAGGACTATATGTTGTTAACGCAGTCATTATCCATGTGTGTCTGTATGATATTTTGATATTTATGGTATTTATGAAGATAAAATTTAATTTGAGATTATTGTACAATTATTGTTATCTTATTCTTCACATTTTATTAAATACCATACCTTAACTTATCTTATTTACAATAATACAATATCTGATATATAAATATATATATAAAAATTATATAATAATATGACCTTTTTTTTTTTTTACATTTTGGCTCTTCCATATTTATTACTATATTTGGTGGCTCGCAAGTCATTTCTCGCTGGCCACCCCTGGTATATAATATAGAAAGCGATACTAAAGGTGTTGCACAGCTATATCGTAACTGCATAAGTATCTATTAGAAAACGACATTGTACACGCACGTGTGTTTACATGGTTCGAATACTAATATTAATGGTATATTTCAACACCCTCCCTCAATTAATAATTTCTTTAATTGAGATTAATAATTTCTCGAAACGTTCCTTGACCAAAGGCTTTGTTAGAATGTCTGCAATCTGATCCTCTGTTCCAATGTACAGTAGTTGAAATTGTCCTTCTTCGTATTTCTCCCGTATGAAATGACATCGTACGTCTATGTGTTTTGTCCTCTTATAAAACTCCGGATTCTTAACTAAACGAATAGCACTCTAATTATCAATGAATAATACCGGTTGTTTATCACCTGTTTTTGATAAGCTTATTATAAACCACGTAATCCACATGATCCATTTTACAGCTTCACTGGCCGAAATATATTCAACCTCTGTCGATGACAATGACACACAATGTTGTTCCTGCGATGTCCATGAAATTATGCTTGACCCGTATCTGAATAGAAATCCTGACGTTGAACGACGTGTCTGAACGTCTGCGTAATCTGCATCGCTAAATATTTCTAATGACAATTGTGTAGTATGATTAAAATACAAGCCATAATTAAATGTTCGTTTGACATATCATATAATCCGCTTTACCAAGTTAGTAATCAATTTTGCCATTGTCAGCTAACCAGGTGTATAAATACACAACGAAGATACAAAGTGAAGATGACGGCGGCGTGTATTTCGTCAGTTGTCACAAGACTTCTGACGACGCTGTCGGTCAATTGAATGTGACTTAGTTATTAACATTGATTGTTGTGATATTACTGTTCATAGCTTACGTCGTCACTTATTACTTATTTGTAATGAAGTGCGGCCCACCGTATGCACAGATAGCATGATTTAAAAGTTAGTAAGATAATCATTGCATTTTCATCACACATCGACCGATTTTAAAACAAATAAATAAATAAAACATTTATCAAGTGTCTACTGTATATGGAGTTTTAGTACTATAGTAATATGTCTAAGGGTCTACAAAAAGGGTCTTATTAGAAGTCAGAAAAAAAATGTCCACACAACAAAAATGTTGAAGAAAAACGTTTGCAAACTAAGCGTAATAATAAAATATGTGAAAAGTATATGGTAAAATCGTATAACAGCTATCAGCTCTAATTATTTCCGACATTATAATTACCAAGGTACATAACATTAACAAACTACTGAGAATAATATGTTATCTGTATTTTAACAGAAGTTTTATATTCTGAACGGTGCGATAACGGCAATAAACTATAAACATATGGGTTTTCGAATGATATCCAAATGCCAAAGCTGGGCACTAACTAGTTAGAAAGTCATCATTTGTGTAACCTTCTAACTTAACTAGTTAGTTTTAATTCATATTAACTTGGTAACTGAACTAGTTGAATTTAATGTGTAAAATAGTCTTATCTACCTATAACTCGTTATAAAATAATACTAACTACCTATAGTGATTATTTTTTTTTTTTCATTCCGAAATACCAAAAGCTGTTCAATCATGATTATTAATTATTAGTATTTATAATAATGCACGCACAGGTTAGGTTAGCAGGCAGCAAATGTTTGACTAAAAGTATAATGACAACATTATAATACTATTATTCGTAATTATAATGTTATAATTTTCGTGGTAGTGTTATCTGTGGTTTACGTTTGTCCGTTTATCTATATCACTATTTAACTATTAAATATATTTAAGATTTAATAACTATATTGGAATATTTCAATATTATAATATCAATAATATATACTGTCGCGACGTATGTATTATTAAATAAGAGGACGTCACACCGGTAATTTTCAGCTGTAAAAACACGTCCACGGAAAACAAAAAAAAACGGCATCAAATAGTGGTTTTAGACTAAAAATACTTATTACAAAACTTTTAGAAAAGAATATTTTGTATTGAACCTCGTTGGTGTTTTTAAAAATATTAACTATTAAAAAAGTTACAGTTATTAAAAAAACACGGAATCTTGAAAATTATTTTTAGTTAGAAATTCATAAAATTTTTTCTTTTTAAATCTTTAAAGATTTGAAAATAAAAAACAATATTTTTCATAATTTTGTCTACCTTTATCAAAAAAATGTCTATAAGAAAGTCAAATTAAAGTTTTATGAGCGTTTGAAATTCAAATTTTTACAACATTGGATATTCACTCGATTTCTCATGTAGCGATCTCCTTATATTGTAACTCAAAAACGAATAACTGTAGAATCATGAAAATTTCACTGAATATTTATATTAGCATTTACTATACACCATACAAATTTGAAAATAATTTGACTCTTTTTGAACTGTTTACGGATATTTTCAGTTTCCAATTTTTTTATTCTATAAATACCAATAAAGTTTTATCTGTTGGGCCAAAAAGTGTAAAAATTTAATACAAGGCTCCTGATATATTGTTACAATATCAGTTGAAAAATATTAAAAATACATAGGCACAATTTTTTTTTATAAGCATTTAAAAATCGAATTTTGACAAAATTTATCAAATTTAAAATTGAATAATTATTTAATAGTTAAAAAAGTATAAAATGTTCAACTTTTAAGGATTGAAAATTTAAAACAAGTTTCCACCTAAGTAGTTAATTCTGTTAAGTACCAAAAAATCTAAAAAATATATATTCACAGTTTATTTTTATTGTCATTTTAAGTTCAACTTTGGACGAAATTACATATTAAATAACCTACAATAACTATTTGTTATTTTGTTGTGATTGTATAATATTATTCATGGGTACTTGAAACTTCCAAAGTGTACTATTATATATCTATGATAGTATCGCGGTTTGTTGATGATGTATAACGCGTTATAAGTACCTAATGGATATTGTGATATGATTAATTTGGAATTTATTATAGGTACCTACCTATTGTAGATCAACATTTTTTATATGTTTATAATATGTCTTAAACCTAGACTGACATATCATCTCCTCTCAGAATCGTTTTTCTTATACAGTGATATTATATCACGTCTTTTAGAGATTTAATCATAAAAACATTTTTATTTTTTAACTTAGCTTTTTTTTACAAGGAGTTATAACGAAGTGTTTTTGATGTGATAATGTGATAAAAGCTATTTTTTTTATGAAATAAGTTGCGATTTTATTTGACTGTATATAATAATAATAAGCATATGCATCGTTTACCTCGTGTTATAATATCTATTTTTCTATTTTAGTTTTTTTTTTTCTTAAACTATAATATAAATATGATATCGTTACATCTAACCCACATTTTATTATTATGTTTAATAACTGATGTATAATGGGCTTGAGACTTGAATCATAGATGGATCATGATGGCAAATCACAGAATTAAGAGCATATGATTTGCCACCGACCTTAATTGTTGCTACGGCCCACGTGTAATGAATTAATCACCAGATTGCTTATTTTATTTTATTATTGTTCCGAGTTTTCAGCATAATAATATAATACCGTCGCGCTGGATCACGAATTCACTAAACAATCACAGTCGTTGAGTCGTCAGAAAGTACCTATTATTCTATATACTATCTTGCCGGTCGTCACTCGTCTGCTGAAACAGTATAATGGACAATGGTAAATGGTTGTCGGCGACCGGTATGGCGGTATCCGAGAGACCGCTCCGTCGCAATCGCCAATTGTCGTACGTCGTCGTCGTAGTACGTCGCCGCCGCCGCTGCAGCGATAAGTGTAGTGGAAATGGTTAAGCGGCGGGTCGGGGGATATTTACGATATTTTCGTTCCCCGAGTCCCGACCCACCGCTTATCATTCCCCACTGTTCCGTACCCAAAATCGGTCTTAAAAGTACTTGAACATTTTTGCTTATAACTTATAAACTATCAAACCAATCTGCTAGCGAATTCCTCTGTTCCCATCTGCACAATATTTATGATCGATTGATACCTCATACGACTTTATATGTTCAGCCGTTTGCACTGTAGAGCTTGGCAAAGAATTGGCATAAATTAGGACAATTTTTCAATGTTAAAACTCGGTGTCCTGTTATTACACGTTAGTGACTACTCTGCTAATTTTTTTTTACTTAGCTTATGTGCCACATAATATGGTCGTAAATCAATTATTATCATTTATCATATCATAATAATCTTCAAATTAAACAATCGATGGAAAAATAATAACAATAATATTAATTTAATAATCTAGCATAAGAGGTATTGGCCAAAATATGAGAACACGATCGAAATAAAAACATGATCGAATTTTGTCGCATTCGACAAAAATAGAATTCGATCGATTCGCGTTTAATGGTATTCTCGAAATAAGATGTGACATTACTCGCATGAAAAACGTTCGAGATTTTGTCTACTGCCTATTTCGACTTCGACAAAATTAATTCGAATGATTTTTATTTGATAGCGCCATAGATTCAATATATTTATCAACATTCAACTGCAGAATAGTCATTAGTGACTAGTCACTTTGTAATTTTTCGATGACATTAGATTTACATTTCGACATCTAGTTACTAGTCAGTTTTTAATAAAAGTTAAATTATTACATAATAATAAAAATGGCAAACGATTACGAACAAGCTGTGATGTTTGCTATGATAAACGTTGAAAGACTAGGAGCTCAAAATATTAGACAACCGTTTGGTGTTAAGGTAAATCCTTTTTTGGCATTGTCGGATACAGCATTTGTCAAAACTTACAGATTGAGTAAAAAATTGACAAATTATTTAATCGAGTTAGTCACTCCATTTATAAAACAGCCAAAATGTTCGTCGGCATTGAGTGTTCAAGATAAGGTACCTAATAAATAAAAATAATAATTTATACTATAATATATATCTAAATATACTTTTTTAGATGTTACGTTAATAATTGGACTTTAGGTTTTAATCACATTGCAATTTTTTGGAACTGGATCGTATCAATTACCTACTGGTAATAGTAGATATAGTGCTGTATCTCAATCTTCTGTATCACGCAGCATTAGTGAAATAACTAATGCACTTAATCAACCAACTATTTTTAATAGTAAGGTCAAATTTCCCAAAAATATTGAAGAATTGAGAAAGTTACGAAATGAGTATGCATACGTATAATGTATATTATATAACTATATAACTATATAAGTAGGAATGGTGTGGAAGTATCCAAGTAGGTATAGGGAGATAAAGTAAAATTGGAAGGTCGGAGCTTGTACAGGATGTTGCACGATAAATGTGTCAAACTCCAAGAGGTACACCTCAAATGAAAAAAAAAAAATATTATATGACCATTATCGAAGTCTCAATAACAATTTATATCAGTTTACCAAGTTTGCGTCTTGCGATAATGCGATCGGTTTTGTACTTACCGCTTAAAATTTGTTTGCGTTTGCATTGTGTGGAATAGGCCCCTCCAGAATGTTAGACAAAAAAATTGAGTGCACCGTTGTAAAGCTTATAACATTTTGAAGTTTTTGTGAAATTTGTAAGCCCCCTACTTTAAAAAAAGTTCTTAGATAAAATTTAAATTTTTAAAAGTTTCGATAATTTAAAGTGTTGGAAGATTTGTTTACCACAAAAATGAGTTGAAAACTTGTAGCGTACTAGCGTATGTTTCTTTGATTCTTATTTCATTAGTTCATTAGCTTTTCAATAGGTAGTGTATTCAAATTTGTTGTAGTACCAACCCGACCAATTGTTTAGTAGATATGAACATTATTATGAATGAAACTTGCGTTCAAACAAAAAAACACATAAATTTAAATATTTCCCTTAATATTAAAGATTGGATAATGAGCATGAGGATTTTTTTAAATACCAATTGATGTTTGACAATTTGATGTATATTACAAATTGCGTGTTCATACAAGCAAAATAATTTTAGTTTAGTACCTACCAATCTACCATACATAATAGGTAGGTTTTCCAATGGTAGGTATAATAAAAGTATTTTCAAATGTTAAGAATAAAATCATTTTATAAAATAGAATACCTACATAACATCCCAATGTCTACAACTATATCCTCTTTGACTGAGTTCTGGAACTGAATATAATACACAGTTTGTAATACTCTTCACACACTACCTACTAATTAACATCTTAAATTTATTAGATTTTACATGAAAACAGGATTTCCTGGAGTTTGTGAATGTATAGGTTGCACTCGTATTGCTATTGTTGCTCCATCAGGAAATCTAGGAGCAAAAAATAATTATCCTGAACACATTTATGTAAATAGAAAAAATTATCATTCAATAAATACACAATTAGTAAGACACTTTAATAATATACACATATTATACAATGTGTCCCAGGGGGAAGTAACTAGAGGTGTTCCGGGTACAGTTTTTACTTATAAACCGGGTACCGAGTATTTGTCGAGTAACAATATCTGTTAAAACCGAGTCTCGAGTACTGGTTGAGTAATAATTTTTTTTTTAAACCGAGTCTCGAGTACTAGTCGAGTAATAATTTTTTTTAAACCGAGTCTCGAGTACTGGTCAAGTAATAATTTACATAAATATTAAATACCATGTACTGAGTATTAGCCAAGTAATAAATAATAATGTCTGTTAAAATTTAAAACTGAGTCAACATTTAATGGAGATTATCAGTTTGTAATGTGTATGTGGTTTTTTGTGATACTTAATTTTTTTTAGAAAGTTTTGCATAATATAGCATAAATTAAAAATGCTCATGGATCATTTAAAAACTGAATTATTGTAAAAACCCCACATACAAACTCAGATAATGTTTTAACTTTTAACCATCAAGTTTCATAATAATTGATAGGTTGATTCACTCTTGATAGCAGATAGGTAATTACTTAATAAAAAAATTAGCTGCAAGTCTGCAAACATAACTACTTATAGTTTTAATTTGCTCAAACAAAATTAAAAATTAAAATAAAGTATAACAAGTAAAAACATTGATAAATAATTAAATATTTAAAATTTGTTTAAGTTGTGGTGTAAGAATAAAATTTGTTCGGCCTTCTCAGGGTGGAGTTGACTTCTCTTAGCTTCGTAAACTAAACCTGCCTCTGAAAATGACCTTTCAGAGTAGACACTTGAGGCAGGAGCAGACAAATATTTTTGAAGAAGCAGCTTGTTCCTAATATATGGATATTTGTCATTTTTTTTTTGATTGCTCCACCAACCTAATGGATCACCATTAATCGGAACGGATTCAATACTACAGTAGGTTTCATACTCAGCAACTCAATCTTTGTTGAAATCAGTATAATCATCTAAATCGGTAAAATTATTGGACATCATTACAGTAGAATTATTTGAAGGTTTTGATGTTGCTATATCATTGTAAAAGTCCCATAATGATTTTACAGACGTTTGATTGTTATTATTTGTTATTGAAGAAATATCAATAGTAACATCACTAACATCATCAGGTACAACTGTTAAATCAAGATTGTTGAAGTTTGAAATAGTACTTAAAATTATTTTCTTCACTTCTGGTCTTTTTTCAGGTTTAAAAAATGATAACTTGAACCTTTGGTCTAAAAATGTTGCTAGAATAAGGTATTATTTTTTCACTACATTTTCAAATCGCTTATGGATTCGACTGATCATAACATCTTTTGTAGTCCCAACTCCAAAATGAATACTACTAGGGTGATTTAAAAATGAATTTAATGACATAATTGCAGGGATAACTTCACTTATTATTGATTTATTAGATTATATGCGTTTTGTGAGCTCTTCGAATGGTCTTAATAAATTCAATAATGACTCCATTACTGTCCAATCATTTGCTTTAAATGATGGTAGACTTGATGGAACCTCAGATGTGAATATTAAAATGGCATGTTTTAAATTAAACAAACGCTCTAGCATGTAAAAACTAGAATTCCACCTAAAATAAAAAATATTAACAATTAGATTTTTTTAAATTAATAATGACATAGATAAAATAATAATATATGTATTATAGATCTTACTAAGTACTAACCTAGTGCAAATATCTTGAATAACCTTTTTATGTTGAACTCCTAGTCCAATTTGTATTGATTTCAGTCTATCAGTAGCTGATGATGAGTGATGGAAATGAGTAGAAACTCTTCTGGCACGACCTAATAGATCTTGTACAGATTTCTGACTTTTCATAGACTCTGTTACAATGAGATGAATTGTGTGCAAAAAACAACCAAAGCTATCTAAAGATGCATCGTCAACTCCCTTTTTCATATTAGCACCATTGTCACTAAAAACAATATAACAATATTTATTTACTAGGATAATTTTCATTTTTCATTTTCAATGATACATATTAAATTATTCAATATCACAGTTATCATTTATCACTGGTAATTACTAATTAGTAATTACTTAGGCTAAGGATTTCATGCCCACCAGTTATTAATAATTAATTAATTAATAAATATTAAATAACAATGACAAAATATAATAGATAATAAAGAATATAGCATTGTCCCTAGCATTAGACTAATCGGTACTGAGTAATTAATTATCATGACAATTAAACTATTTATAGGATTAAAAAGTTAAAAGGGCACAATGCTACTCACCCAACATTACATAAATTATAAAATTAAAAATGTCAAATGTATTAACTACTCATAAATAATCATATATTATCTTAATATAGTATATAAAATCTCGTGTCACAATGTTTGTCCTCAATGGACCTCCTAAACCACTTAACGATTTTGATGAAATTTTTTACACGCGTGTAATTTGGTCCAACTTAAAAGATAGGCTAATTTAAAAAGGGAGAGGACAAACCCCGGGAGGTGCTCAAACGGGAATTTTGAGATTTCCGATGGAAATTTTGTTTATTAACTGGTTTTGCCATGGTTTTTTAAGCTATTGCAATAATAAAAATAATTAAAAAAAAAAAAACTATTGCTTTACTTTTTCAATATAAATGTAATATAATATCTAACTATAAAATGTTGAAATGAAAATCTCTGGTACTACTTATCTCTGGAGCTTCTTATCAGATCTTCATTATTTTTTTTTTAATGAAAGAGTATTTCATGGATAAGGTTTATATGAAAAAAAAATGTATGGAAAATCCACCAGTGTATTATATTATATCGGTTGCTATTGGTTAATCGGGCATGTTTTTGATTTGTATCATTATTTTTTTGTCAATAGGTATACATATATCATATATGTTAAATAAATACAAGATCCATAAGTATTCCAAGTCTAGTATAGTTAGAGTCCGTGTATTATATTGGTTATATCTCTATATATATAGATATGTATAATATATTAGGGTGGATCCTTTATAGAAGGCAAATAGTGAGGAAAAAAAAATAAGACTTCTTTTCAAGCACCCCCGAATTTTGTTCATTTTAAGAGCAACCATTTGGGTTTAAATTGATGATGCTAACTCCCCCCTCCAGTGACCGCCACACGGGTTGAAAAATGACTACGGGGTAAGTATTTCCTGTGTTTTTGAATTTAACCAAAAACTATAAGATCCACAAAAAAACACACTAGAACCTTAATTGTAGAACATAAATTACCTATAAAAAATATCTTTATAAATTTCTTGTCAATCCTTTATTTTTCGAGAATTTGTTAAATAACCAAATTTTATATATATTTCGAAAATTTGATTTTTTTATGGTTATTCTAATATATTTGGCGTATGGTTCAATTTACGACGAAGTCTTTTGATAAAAAATGTTTTAAAATATAATTTTCTAAAAATAAAGTCATAAGTAAAATATGCATAGACCAATGACTTTGTTTTTACAGTAGGATTTGTGAAATATTTTATTAAACAACTCTTTTCTACTACCACGAAGAACCAAATACAACGCTATTATTTTATTGATAAGAAAAAGATTACTTTATAATAAAGTTTGATGAATCAAACAAATTTTATTATACCTAAATATTTATTATATAATAATTTCTTAAAACTATTTTTAAGTTTGAGATAAGACAGCACATAATATGTTCTTTCGGTTATACACATTATTGTTGTTGAGAGAGATTCAAGTATTAGATTAGATTATTTATTGTGGTTGATTGTCGTATAATTGAAACCATCATGTCACATTCACTGTTCAGTGTTCATTCGTCTTTCTGTTCGTATCTTTAGCATCATGCCTCGTCAAAAAATATTTATTGTTGGTGTTATGAAAAACCAAATACTCGGTAGTAAATTACCATCTAAAAAAGACGTTTTAAGTGTTTTTATTTTTTAATATCGGGATGGGTAAAACTTAACGCTACAAGATAGTATTTCATTGGTTATTGATGAATGTTTAATTTTTTGGAAAAAAGCCCGAATACCAACTCGAGATCGATGTCATTGCTTAAAACAATTGAAAAAACTCTATGAAGAATTACGAAACCTCGAAAAAAGTAAAAATCGGAATAGTGAGTTATGTAGGCAGAGAGAGCATAGTTTCGAAGAAAATTTAAATGATTTATTTGATATTGCGCATGCATTTGCTATGGATATGTTAAAAATAAATGAAGATAAAGAATTTTTAAACTTTCAACGACAAAAAGGCCGCCCTGGGTGTATGCTTGGTACGGATGTAAAATTAGCCGGAATTGAAAAACGAAAACATAATCGTGTAAAAAAAAACATCGAAGTACAAGAAAAGCCGTGTTCGTCAAAATCTGAAGAAGGTATGTTAAATTATATTTATTTAATAATTTATTTAATATAATTAAGAATATACTTATTGTTTTATTTTTGATTTCAGTTGAATTGAATTCTACATTTAGTTCGGAAGAAGTAGAATCTATTGATTCTGTTACAGAGACCGAAAGTTCTAGTTCTCCAATCCCGTGAACAATGCAAATGAAAAGGGCACGATTAGAAATATTGACACCTCGACTTTCTTTCTTGCTGTACTTATAAAGTAAGATCAGCGATAGAGATGCTGTTCATTTATTAAACAGCCTGCGTGGAAGCAACTTCTCTAAATCCATTAGATTTTGTCATAAATCGAACTTCAATTCGGCTATCTCGTCAACGTTTTTGTGAGTTAAATGCTTTTAGAATAAAACAAAATTTTTTTGATTTAAATTTAAAATTTATAACTATACACTGGGATTCAAAAATTCTTCTCGATATAACTGGTAAAACAAAAGTCGATAGACTTCCTATTATTGCAACAGCTCCAAATACTGAACAACTTCTTGGTGTTCCCGAACTTTCTGCTGGAACCGGTTATGAAGTTTCATCTGCTGTGTACGATACTCTTGAAGATTGGTTACTTCTTGATAGTGTACAAGCATTTGTATTTGATACAACGGCATCTAATACTGGACGTTTAAATGGTGCTTGTGTTCTTTTAGAACATAAACTTGGACGTAATATTTTATACTTGGCTTGTAGACATCATGTTTTTGAAATTATTCTCCAAAGTGTATTCGTTGGATCTAAGTTTGCTCCATCTTCAGGCCCTGATATCCCATTATTTAAAAGATTTAAAAATCAATGGAAAACAATTGATTTAACACAGTTTTCAATTTGGTCGATGGATGTTAAGACCAGTAATGTTCTCAATGACGTAAGGCAACAAATATTAATATTTGCTCATGAAAAACTTAGAGACGATTTTCCTCGGGACGATTATAAAGAATTCCTTGAATTAATAGTCATATTTTTAGGAGACGTTCCTACAGGTGGTATCAAATTTCGGCAGCCAGGACCCTATCATTTGGCCAGATGGATGGCAAAAGGATTATAATACAGATCTACCCTAATAGCCGCCAAATATAAAATTATACTGGGTGATATTAATATTGATTTGCTTAAACCCTCAAAAATTAAAGAAGACTATTCGCTAATGATGGCACAGTTTGGTTTTTTACCGTTAATCAAAAATATCACTAGACCTACCTCGAAAACATGTATAGACCACATATTTCTAAAAACAAAATCCTATAACAATCTGTTACCAATAGTTGTACATACAAACATAACAGATCACTACCCAACGACTCTTAGTATAGGTAACTTATCAGATAACCGTAATAACAGTCCGAACCCCTTGAAAGTCTTAAAAATTGATGACTGTAAGCTAACTAACCTGATTCAAAATCATAATTGGTCGGAAATATTCGACTTTAATGATGTCAATTTAGCCCTACAGTACTTGGTTGAAACTATAAATAAACTAAAAAAAAACTCCACAACAGAAATAACTATTTCATCTAAAACTAAAAAATTAAAGCCATGGGCCACAACTGCGATTATTAATTCCATCAGACAAAGAGATCGCTTACATATACAAGTTAGAAAATTTCCTCAAAATATGAAATTAAAAAGCTACTACATACGATTTAGGAACAAATTAACCAATGTAATAAAAGACGCCAAGATAACGTACTATAAAACTGAAATACTGAATTCCGGAAATAATATAAAACTTAAATGGAAAATAATCAAAGATATAATTGCAAAAAATAAAAAACAAAATCATTTTGAAAACTTAATAAAATTAATTAATGATACAACAGATATAAACAAACAAAATAGTATATTAGCAAATCAATTTAACAATTATTTTGCTAACGTGGCATCAGATTTAGTTGCACAAATACAAAAGCATAAAATTGAAAATAACCCCCTTATTACTCCATCTGAATTAAATAATACAGAAATCCAAAATAAGCCTTCTTTAAATAAATTTGAAACTATAACAACAGAAGAAATATTAAAAGCAATCTCGAAATTAAAAAATGGGTCATCTCCTGGAATTGATAAAATTACAACTGATTTATTAAAAAAACATAATACCATATTTTGTATACCACTATGTCACATTTTTAACCTAAGTATTTCTCAAAACCTAATACCAGATAACTTTAAAATAGCCATAATTACACCAATATACAAAAAAGGTCCAACTACATCATATAGTAACTTCCGGCCAATCTCAGTAATTTCAAATATTCGAAAAAATAATAAAAAATAGGTTACTAGATTTTTTAGAATCAAATAATCTATTCTTTAAGCACCAATTTGGGTTCAGACCAGGCAAGGGAACTGACCAAGCTATAGCCAATGTAACTAAAACTATATACACTGCCTTAGAACAAGGGAAAAAATGCGCTACTATTTATCTCGACTTAACTAAAGCATTCGACACAGTAGATCATAACATACTATTAAATAAAATGAAAAATATCGGAATATCTGGTTCTGCTCTTTCTCTTTTTACATCCTATCTTAATAATAGAAAACAAATGGTAAAAATTAATGATTCCATCAGTAACGAGTTGTCAATAAAATGTGGAGTCCC